AAAATCCCAGATGTAAACAGGATCAACAAAAAAAATCTCCAATCCAGTAATAATTATGAAAAATTTTAGATGTCTAATACCTCAAAATGCTAAAGCAACAATACAAAAACTCCAAGGAAGGTGAACAATCAAAGGAACCCATCATCACCAAAAGATAACAACCTGCAGTAATCCAACTCAGAAACACAGCAATTGGTGATTTACCTGACAAAGGATTCAGAGTAACTGTGTCAGGGAACCTAAATAAATAACATCAAAAAGAAACACAGAAACACAATATAATAAAATCACAAAACAATAGACAAAATGAAAAATTTAACAGAGAGAAATCATCAAAATGAAACAAATTATGAAGTTGAATGATTCAATAAACAAAGTGAAAATGCAATACATAGCACCTACAATAGAATAAACATATTAAATAAGGTATCTTTAAGTAAAAACACACATAAAATAAGGTTATGTATTGATCAGTTGATGAAAATGTAACCCGAGGCTCACAAGAACCTAACCCTATATTCCCCTAGCAAGGTAAAGGCCTTGATTCTCTCAGGAGCAATGATTTAGTATTTGTTAATTATTTGTGGTAAATTTCTAGAACATTACTACCATGGATATTGAAAAGCAGCTGTATTTATATGAAACTGTGAACACCAAGTGGCTGTGAGGATGTATAGCCAAGTAAGGTTAGCAAGGACAAATGTTCACTGCTTGGAGCCGGGTTTGTAGTTTTTAGGTTGGCTTAAATTGCTATGGGTTATAAAATAAAAGATATCTGGACAGTTAACTGAGACCCACTCACCTTTCATATTCTAATTTCTCTTATGCGTATTTTTGAAAAATTAACTTTAGAGAGAGAGGCAGGAGGGGAGAGAGAGAGAAACATGGAGACCAGGTATTGAACCCACAATCTTGGTGTATTGGGGCAATGCTTAAACCAACTGAACTATCAGTCCAGAGCCTCTACTACAGCTTTTTAAAATGAGGATTTTCTTGCACTGACTTTCTTTAACTCTTACATTTGCTTTATCTATGCATTTTCTGTATTTCCCCATAGCTGTATGAAATCATTTATGAAAGAACACATGAACTGAATAACTAAGTGATACCCTTAGGCAGCTGCCCAATCTGATAACCATCCCATGCATAAAATGCCCTTCAGAAAACCAAATTTGTATGTGTGAGACTTGTTGAAATGTTGAAGGACACAGACCATGGCCATCTGCATGGCGGATGTGTCCTGAAAACTGTGAATGATGTACAGGGCCATGCATTGTAATAAACTGCCTGAATGTCACAGGAAGATTTCAACTTCCACATAATCAAAAATTCACAGAGCACAGTGTGCCATGTCACCTGTAATGAGAATAAGTTAGGGTAATGTGTGTGTATTTATAGTTAGGTAATATGTGTGATAAATGTATATGTTCATTTATATATACATATGTACATAATTCTGTTGGGTGTACCTAGAGAAAATTAATGAATAGGATTCTGAAATCAATTAGTTTTTAAGACCATTTTGTGTATTGCAACTCTATTTTGCATATGTGCAGGTAGTATAGGCTGTTTCATCGGAGCCCTTTTTGAGTCTCTAGACTTTTCATATTAATGCAAGATGCCTTATCTTCTTTTTTTTCCATAGGTATTTGTGTTATATTAATTTCAAATATTCCAAACCCTAGCTCATACCTGAACAGGTCCACCATCTAAATGGTACATCATAAATGTATTGTTATAGCCTAATTACAAATCCATTTTAGTTCTGATTTAACCCATGACACAGTTTTTTTTTTTTTGGCAAAAAAGAAAGATCTTTGATGAAGTACCACAAGTTTGTATTATTGGATATTTGGAAACAAATTGTTGCCATTCAATTTTAAAATTACATAACTTGAAAATCAAGTCATAGCTATACAAGAATGATAGAATTTTCATGAAAGAGAACAATGTGGTTTGGGAAAGATGTTACCTTAAAATATATATAAATATTGGCTTGGAAGCCCTTTAGATAATAACGTTTCCATTAAACCCATCCCCAATGGCCTTTCAGTGTTGTATGTGTTATAAGCTGCCTCCTCTCACTTCATCCTCAGTCCTCTTTGACCTGCAGAAAGTCAAAGTTTGCCTTTTAAAGCTGCAAACTTTATAAATCCCCACTAAATGAAATAGGTGGCTGAAATCTACCACTGTTGTACTTTGTACTTTTAGTATATTTCTTTAATCATAACTGTATTTCTTTTTCTAAATCAGAGGCTACAAACTGTAGAAGTCATTGTGCCAGGGGATGTATTTTGTTTGTCCCATTGAATTTACAATTTAATTTTCTAAAATCTGTTGCCAACCTTAGAACCAAGAGATTTCTTATCAAATTAGACTATCAGAAGACCTGGTAACATTGGCTCCTTATTCCATTCTGACCAGAATTTGCAGGTGCTGAGGAGCACCTACCACCTTAGACAGGATGTGTGCTCCACAGTTGGCATCACTTCCATTGGGCTTGTTTCACTTACATCACCTGATGGATCCCTGTAGACATTTGGGTTTGTAGCTGCTAAAAATAGAAGTTAATGAGACAACCCTTTTTTATTTCTCTGAAATTATTTCTCCATTAAGGAATCCCAGAAACACTAATTCAAAAGAACGTATGCACCCCAATGTTCACAGCAGCAAAATTTATAATAGTCAAGTGCTGGAAGCAACCTAAGTGCCCACCAGTAAATAAATGGATCAAAAAACTATGGTACATTTACACAATGGAATACTATGGAGCAGAAAGAAAGAAGGAGCTCCTACACTTTGCAGCAGCATAGATGGAACTGGACAGCATTATGCTAAGTGAAATAAACCAGGTGGTAAAAGACAAATACCATATAATCTCATCTATAAGTGGAACCTAATCAACAAAACAAAGAAGGAAGCAAAATATAACCAAAGATATTCAAATAAAGAACAAACTGACAGTAACCAGAGGGAAGTGGGGAGGGTCATTAAGGAACATGTTTAAAGGACACATAGACAAAGCCAAAGCGGGGTAGGATGGAGGGTGGGAGGTGGGGATGGGGAGGGCGGGGAGGGTGAGGAGGGGAGGAGTGGGGGGCAAAATGGAGACAATTGTATTTGAACAATAAAAAAAGGGAAAAATATATATATATAAAGCTAGCAAAACCTACCTCAAAACAATATTTAAAAGTCTCAGTTCTGTGGCACAGTGTCATGGCCACTGACTGGCAGTGACCAAGGAACACTGCAGATGGCTCATCGAAACACGAGAAAAACATATATATGGACAACTACATCCTGTGGAGAAATAGGGAAGAAAATGGCCACTCTCTCTAATGGGGAGTGCCTTGTCTTTTTGCCCAAGCAGGTTTTTATTTTTTAATACAAATACTGTTTGTAAATTACAAGTAGTTAACCTTGAAAGGCACTGGCAGATCTCCTGCTGGGATCCTAAGCCAGCAATTTTGGGGTTTTACCATGTAAAAAGACTACAGGACTTAAAAACTTAGTTTCATATCCTCCCTGTGCCTTCATATTTTAATTGAAGAGCATCTTCCAGCAAGCAGATCTCACAGGGTCTTTTATATTCTATGTCTCAGGCCTGATTACCCTGGGTGTCTGCTGACTCTGGTCTGGGCTGCACTGTCCCTGTTATTCCCGCAGGTCTGAGTCGGGCAGAGGAGACAAAGGCAGCTGGGAGATTGGGATTTCTCAAGGACTCAGGCTTTGGCAAAGCCAAGGGGGCAGGGGTCGATGTCAATCACCCCGTCATTTCCACAGCCCCCTGAGTCTCTTTCCTTAGGGCATTCCCACGTGATTGTGTCTGTCTTAGATTCATTCTCTTTCCTAGAGAATTGTTACCCATCATTGACTGCCGATCATGCAAAGGGAGCCAGGCATTAGAACAGGCAGCATTCATTCCAGGGAAATAAGTTTTTGTCTCCTTAGCGTCTCCTGGTTCAGAGGCCTCTTACTCAGCCATAGTCACAGGTGGTTACAGATACCTAAAACCAGGAAGGGCAAACCTCAACAGCACAGATCTTATGTATGCTGACAAAATTAGTCTATTCATTTGAACAGTGCAATGATTAGGAGTGTAAAGTGGAAAATGTAAGCCAAACAAAAAGAGCACTGTGTTCAGAAGCGGTATAGGGAAATGCTAAGTCAGAAATGGTTTAGGAGAAACTGATACATGAAGTAAGGGAAATGTATCTAAAGCTTGAGGACTGGAGACTTGGGATGTAAGAACACATTGTGCAAAGACCTACAGCTAAGACCAAACAACAGTAATTCTATAGCAGAGATCAATAAGAAATAAAGTCAAACACCAAATCCTGGTTGCATATGCCCCATTAAGTTGTGTTGTTGTTGTTTTAATCCAAATGAAAATATATGACCATCTTAAATGTTTTTTGCTAACTTTTGTCCCATGATGGCTTTCTACTCAACTAATAATAGTAAGGGCTCTGAAGAAACTCCCAGCTTTCTTTCTCCTCTGGTACATGGGGCTTCCATTGTCTTCAACTCTCCTACTTAAGCTTGCTGCTTATATGTAATTACCAAACTAGATTTCATTGATCTCTCTGAAATGGTTTTTCATTTAAAATAAAGTAATTCACTTCCACATACAATATAAATTATAGCTTGTGGGTAACTTAATGCATCATTTTTTTTTAAAGGAGAACAACAGATACATTTTCTCTGCAGGAACTAAGATGCTAACGGTCATAAATTGGTCCAAATGTGTTTCAGACTGAATCTGGGCCTTCTATTTCTCTAACCCAAAATGAGAAACATGATGTTGGAAATTTCAGACTTTATAAGTGCTTTTCTGTAAGGTTTGCAAGTTTCATCTTTAATCACTTCAGGTCTGTGGTTGTGGGAAGCTGCCTACTCTCTTCCTTTGTTCAGTAAAGGGCTGGTTTTTGTGCTGGAACAATTCTGGTATGCTACTATTGAAATGGGAATTCACAGTTTTTCTTTTGTTTTCCTTTCAGCTCACCCCAGTTGGCACCACGATATTTACAGGATTTTCAGGAGACAATGGAGCTACAGATATAGATGATGGCCCAAATGGACAGATAGAATATGTTATTCAGTATAATCCAGATGACCCGGTATGTAAATACCTACTTGCAATGTGACTTCTCAGTGAGGAATAAAAATCAAAGTTCACTTTACCTAATATTTATTGTATAAGCTCCTGGAATCACATTAGTAATAATAATATAATTAAAAGTTATCTCAAAATTGCATTCTTTTAAATGTGTGATATACTTTGAATGGGTAATTTTTTATGGTATTTGTAGGAAAGACCTTAAAATGGATTTTAGGTATAATGTGCAATTTTTACTACATTTTCATTGTTTGTGGACTCCTAAGCAGTCTAAATAAATTAGACATAACCAATGTAATTAATTTGCTTTATGGAACATAGAAATTAACACCACTGTTTCCAAGCCCCCACCAATGACACCTAAGGTAAAGAAAAGGACAAAGCCTCTAGCTATGGGTTATTTAGAGTGTTAATTATTCTTCCAGTGATATATCACGTTTAATACAGATAAAATTAGAATCGTTTTGTTGAAGCCAAAACTGGAAGTCCTGCCTGCCATCTTTTCTTCCTCTTTTCCCAAGACAGCTGCTCAGAATATCATGAGCTCCCCAAGGCTTAGTTGTAAAATCACTTAAGTAAGTTTTCTACATGAATGCTTCTCCTTTATGTTACTTAGGAATATAAAAGGCGGTGAAGAAAATATTTTGTCTTTCTTTTAAAATGATGTATTTCTTATATAAACTTCAAACAACCAAACAGAAATTACTATGGTTGTAGAGACTAAGAATTCACAATAAGATCAACCTCACAAAGTTATTGTGAGAATTAAGTGAATTGTGAGTGAATTTTCTCATTTTGTTCTCACAAATTGATTGGTTATAGTCATATCTCTATGGCATAGGAGAGAAAACAGGCTCCTAGGTGAACTGATTTACCTGGTGTTGCACAGCCACTTCCCAGCTAAAAAGTCAGGACTCTGATTTCAGAGTAGCATGTGTTCCACTCTTTGTCTGTTGCATTCCTATAAAATAGTTGTGTTAAAATTTTCCAAAACAAAACAAAACACTTTTCCCCACACAAAAAATTGTATCTCTACATGTTTGTAGTCAAAGGCAAAGGCACCAAGAGCTGGGGAAGTAATGAGAAAGGGACAGAGGAAGACAATAAGGAAGAAGGGTTACACATGAAATAGAGTGGAAAAGATCAAAGAAACAGCATAGAATAGAAGGCGGGGCAAATAGTTTTGTTTTTTGTTTTTTTTTAGTAGAAACAGACAGCTGACTGCATATTCTATGACAAACCCATTTAGTTTCTTTACTATTCAGTTTATTTTTAAGAATTAATTATGTGTGTGTGCCATGTTCCTAGCTTACATTTTATGAAGGTCATTTCCTAACCTTTACTCCTTAAGCTGTAAAAATGAAACCTTCCAGCCAAGTACAGAATGGCCAGAACGTATGGATTAGGAAAACATTTATTACATTGCATTAAAAAAAACTATCCAAGGTTTAGATATAGTATGAGACAAAATTTATTACTTAAAAAGAGAAACTATCTCTTTGACGTTTTGTAAGGCTGAAATTCCTTGTTGACTGCATAGTAATTCCTTCTGAATGTTTTTCCCTTTCATAGATTTATAGGCTTGACATCAAATACATCATATACCTTTTAGTGCCCACAAATTGGATAAGTCAATCAGCCACATGCAGTACCAAATTATGAAAATAAAAATAAAAATGTACTTTAGCAAGCTAGCAGTTTAGTGGAATAGATAAAGACATTCTCTGGGCATGGTTCTAATTCAATGAGGCAAAATAAGACATCATGGCAGCATTTAACCTAGGGTATGTTAGAGGAGAAAGCATTAACCAAGTCACATCCTTACAGGGAGAATCCATCTTTAGTCATTATAGAAACTTACTGTAAACCTCAGTACCAGTTTTTTCTCTTGCTAAGATCTATGAGAAACAAATAACTGATGGCTTTAATATTCTGCCACTGTTCAATTTTTAGTAATTTTGTCTATTGATAGCAACATAATATTCTCCTACTAATTTCTTAATGTCAAAAAAATGTGTATACTATGGCCACCTCTGGCTTTTGCAACCACAATTATGATTTCTTTGAAATTAACCTTATACTGTAGGGTAAGTTGTAAAAAGTGTTGATTGCTCTATTCTTCTTAAAACAATTTCTGTTATATTATTCATTAGCAGAAATCACAAATTAGTGACCTGGATTTGATTTAAATCACAAACATTTTGTTTGGCCACAAGTTATTTTAAATAATTTTTGAGCCAATTTCACATCCATGTGTTGGTTTTTCTTCTCTCTAAGAAATAAAAATATGACAACACTAGCCCTGATTTCTAACAAGACAACAATCAGCTCGAGTTGAACTGCTGCATGCTCATGAGGAATGAATCCTACCACTCAGACAATAAATGTACAGCTGTTTATAGCCCAAGGTGCTTCACTGATTTACAGAATCTGCTTTATCCTTGTGGAGAAATTTGCAAAAACCACTTCTGCCTTACAGTAATACATTGTCTTTTGAGTCAGTTCTTCCCATCAGTTTAAACATTGACCTTCAATGTTTCTGATAAGAGAAGTCAATATAAATTTGAATCATGTTTCCAGTATGCAATATGTCATTTTTCTCTAGTTGTTTTCAAGATTTTCTTTTAATCTTGTCCATTTGGCACCTTAACTATGGCATGTGAAAGAGTATTATTTTTTGTAATTATCTATTTTGGAGTAGATTATTGGGCTTCTTTAATCTCTGCATTTCTTTTTCACCAGTTAAGGAAATTATCAATCATCATTTGTTTAATATTTTCATGTCTTTTTCTCTGATCCTTTTTCCTCTGAAACTCCAAGTACAAGAATGTTAGGGATTTAAATATTGTTCCATAGATACAGGCTCTGTTCAAATACTTTCAATATATTTTAATTACTTATCTGTAACTATTTTCTTTGGGTCTGTGTGGAAGGTTACTGTCTTCTGTCATCTACGTTCTATTGTTAAACCTATTCAGTGGTACTTTTTTTTAATTTGAGAGAGTATAATCATGTCTTCATTTTCCACATTTTTACAGTTTGTATTTGTTGGCTGTGATTTATTTTTACATCTCTTAGCACAGACATAGTTATGTGAAGCTGATTTAAAATCCTTGTCTGCTTGTCTAACATTGGTCTTCCTTGATTATTTCCCCCCCTTGAAAAGAGATCACATTTTCTGGTTCATCATATATCAAGCAGTTTTGGACTCTATCCTGGACATTGTAAATGTTACATTGTGGAGAGACTCTTGATTCCATTTTATTCTGCTGAGAAGATTTTTTGTTTGTTTTATCTTCACAAAGAACTTGATTTGATTTAAGTTCTAAAAACTCTTTGGTGGAGTTCAAATCTCAATTCAGTACATATTTTTTTCTTAGATTATTTGTTTGGAGTTTGGTTTCAAGATTAACTAAAGATTTGGACATATGTTTGTTTTTTTCATTTTTTATTGAATTTATTGGGGTGACATTGGTTAATAAAATTATATAGATTTAGGTGTATAATTCTATAATACAGTATTTGTATATTGTATAGTGTGTTATTCACCCAAAGTCTCTCCTTCCTTCACCATTTATCCCCTTTTTTACCCTCTTCTACCTTCCCCTCCCCCACAGCCTCTCTCCCTCTGGTAATCATCGTACTGTTGTCTATCTCAGTGAGGTTTTCTTTTTAGCTTAATCCCATCACTTTTATCACAGCCCTGCAAGTGCCCACCCCCAACAGCTGTCAGTCTGTTTTCTGTATCTATGAATTTGTTTCTATTGTGCTTATATCTTTAGTTCATTAGATTCCATATATAAGTGAAGTTACATGGTATTTGTCATTTTATGACTAGTTTATTTCACTTAGCATAATACTACTCACGTCCACCCATGCTGTTGCAAAAGGTAAGAGTTCCTTCTTTTTTCTGGATGAGTAGTATTCCATTCTGCAAGTGTACCATAGTTGTTTTATTCACTCACCTACCTATGGGAACTTGGGCTGCTCCCACATCTTGACTATTGCAAATAATGCTGCAGTGAACGCAGGAGTGCTTATATTCTTTCAAATCAGTGTTTTTGGTTTCTTGTGATATATTCCTAAAAGTTGAATCACTACTCATAAGGAAGTTAGAGTTTTAATTTTTTGAGAAAATTCCATACTGTTTTCCATAGTGGTTTCACCTGTCTGCATTCCCACCAACAGGGCAAGAGGGTTTTCTTTTCTCCAATGTTCACCAACACTTGTTGCTTATTGATTCATTGATGATAGTCGTTCTGATAAATGTGAGGTGATATCTCATTGTGATTTTAATTTGTATTCCTCTGATGATTAGCAACTTTGAGAATATTTTCATATGTCTATTGGCCATCTGTATGTCCTCTTTGGAGAGGTCTTTATTCAGATCCTTTGCACTTTTACAATTGTATTTGTGTGTGTGTGTTGAGTTGTATAAGTTTTTAGTAAATTTTGGATATTACAGCTTATCAGATGTATCATTGGTGAGTGTAATACCCACCTACTCCACCACCACCTTGGATCTCAGATTTGGATATAGTTTATAAGAGCAATTTTGTTCTCTTCTTTCTGGCTTTCTCTTTCCCAGTATTTCCACCTCACGTCCTATCAGTTTTAGTTGTATGGAAAATCTTTACCCTACCCCTTCAGGACAGAAAAAGTTCAGGATTTCTATCAGAGTTGTAACTGCCCCCTTAAAGTACTAAATTGAGAATTCCCTCAGGCTAACTACCATAAAACAGGAAAATCACCCACGTGGTCTCTTCTTTCAAGTGTCTAATCTTCAGAATTCGGACTTTGCTTACCTCTTCAGGAATGCCAAGTATTTTTTGTTGATTTGTCTTTTGTATTTTGTCTGGCATTTATAGGTGTTATTAATGGAAAGACCGAGTTGAAATACAAGTTAATTAGCTATACAGAAGCAGAACAATTAATTCCAAATAAGTTCCTTTCTTCAATATATCTTTATAAAACTAGTACTTTTACTCATTTTTGCTTCTA